GATTTAATTTATAGCAATATGAGATTCTGAACACCGCTCTCACCATTTTCAGTGGTGCTACAAGCAGGAAATGAGCTCGGGAAATAAGACGGTTATATTTGTTGAGTACACAGAAAAATAAAATAGAACTGATGAGGTGAGTACTAAGATGTATTTGTTACTAATGCCAGGAAAAAAAAATATCTTTGTCCCCAATAGTCATACAGCTCATATAGTTTATATTGCTTTCTAAATCAGCTGAAGCTGATTTTTCAGACATGGATAATAAGTAGTATGTTGTCTGTTGCAAGAAATGAAACTTTGTTGAGAAAAGGAAATATCTATGTGTGTGTATATATATATGTATATATAGGAAGTTTTTCAGACAGATGTCTAATTGATTACACCTTGACATATTTTTAACTGCTATACTGCAGTTTTACTTTTTACAATCTCTTTTGCCTTGCAGCCCCCAACTAGGGGCGTTAAGCAGGCTCAAGTTGCAACTGCGAAACATTACAAATCCAAATTTCTTTTTCTGACAAAGAATTAAAGAATTAAATTGGGAGACTAAGATGGCCATTTTGAGCTCATTCTGCTCTCTTCAGTTAGCCACACCCTTTATGGGATTCGAACCTGGGCAGTTTACATACTAGGCAGTGATTTAACCACCAAGCCATAGGCTCTCCTCCCTCTTTGCCAGCTGAGTCAAGGGAGTATATGCAGGAAGTTTTTCAGACAGATGTCTAATTGATTACACCTTGACATTTTTTTAACTGCTATACTGCAGTTTTACTTTTTACAATCTCTTTTGCCTTGCAGCCCCCAACTAGGGGCATTAAGCAGGCTCAAGTCGCAACTGCGAAACATTACAAATCCAAATTTCTTTTTCTGACAAAGAATTAAAGAATTAAATTAAATTAAATTAAAAATCTATCTATCTATCTATCTATCTATCTATCTATCTATCTATCTATCTTTGGTTATTCGGGTTTTCTCCTGCGTCAAATTGGAAGTGTCTTGGCAACGTTTCGATGAAGTCTCATTCGTCATCTTCAGGCTGGTGTTTTCGGCTTCGTGCTTCTAGGAGCAATGTGTGATCGTAGTTGTTTCTTCCTTTTAACTGCCAGTGGGGGTATGAACTGATTGGATGAGAGCTTGGCTGTGTTCTGATTGGATGGAGGTGTGTTCTGATTGGTTAGGAGCTTGGCTGTGCTCTGATTGGATGGGGGGTTGGCTGTGCTCTGATTGGTTGTGGACGCTCCATAACTGGAGGTTGGGAATGTTCTCTTTGGGTGGGGGCTTTGTTGTGCTCAGGTTAGTCTGAGTTGCATGGGAATGTGAGATGGTGAGCTGCATTGCTATTGTTTGGCTTCGTGTTCGTGGTCGTGCCTCATCTTCATGGTGGGTGTCAGTTTGCTTCATGTATGGATTGGAGGGGTTTAAAGTGGCTAATGATGCAGCTGTGGTCTGGCTTCTGGTTTGTGGTCATGCCTCATCATCGGTGTGGGTTTGGGTTTGCTTTTTGCATGATCATGTGGTGGTGACATCCTGTGTGGCTTTTGTGAGTGTGGGTCTGGTGTCATTCTTTGTGTTAGGGAGTTGTTTGTCAATAAGGGCGGGTTTCCAAATGGCTGGTAGGCGGGAGGTATCATCACATTTGTTCATGCTGTGTGGGCGTTTTTCTATCTTGATGGCTTCTCTGATTATTCTGTTATTAAAGTGTTCATCCAATCAGAACACAGCCAAGCTCTCATCCAATCAGTTCATACCCCCACTGGCAGTTAAAAGGAAGAAACAGTTACAATCACACATTGCTCCTAGAAGCACGAAGCCGAAAACACCAGCCTGAAGATGACGAATGAGACTTCATCAAAACGTCGCCAAGACACTTCCAATTTGACACGGGAGAAAACCCAAATAACCAAAGACCTACATACAAACACCCGCGAAAACTGTCTTATCTCCACTTTGTTATACAGAACTAGTTAGTGTGAATAGAATAGAATGGAATGGAATGGAATGGAATGGAATGGAATGGCATGGCATGGCATGGCATGGCATGGCATGGCATGGCATGGCATGGCATGGCATGGCATGGAAGAGAAGAGAAGAGAGGAGAGGAGAGGAGAAGAGAAGAGAAGAGAAGAGAAGAGAAGAGAAGAGAAGAGAAGAGAAGAGAAGAGAAGAGAAGAGAAGAGAAGAGAAGAGACTTGGAAAGGACCTTTGAGATCTTCTAGTCCAGCTCCTTCTCAAGCAAGAGAACCTATTCCAATTCAGATAAGTGACTGTCTAGTCTCTTCTTAAAAACCTCCAGTGATGGAGCGCCCACAATTTCTGAAGGAAAGCTGTTCCACTGGTTAATTGTGCTCACTGTTAGGAAATTTCTCAGTTCCAGGTTGCTTCTCTCTTAATTAAGACAAAAGAAACTGAGAAGTAAGCTGAATGCAATGGGATTGGGGTACTTAACTATTATGTCTGTAAAACATGAAGAGATAGCATCAAGAATAAATTGGTGATAAATGATTGTGGATTGGATACAAGAATGATGCAACCTAGCACTGTGTTGATGAATGATGCAACCTAGCATTGTGTTGGCATTTTTGGCTGAGGCAGCAGTGTGCCACAGCTGCCAAAAAAGTCAATACAGTGCTAGGCTGCATTAACAGAGGGATAGAATCAAGATCACATGAAAAGCTAAGACCACTTTATAACACCTTGGTAAGATCACATTGGAATACTGCATCCAGTTTTGGTCACCACAATGTAAAAAGAGGTTGAAACTCTAGAAAGAATACAGAGAAGAGCAACAAAAATGATCAAGGGACTGGAGGCTAAAACATATAAAGAACAGTTGCTGGAATTGGGTATGTCTAGTTTAATGAAGAGAAGGACTAGGGGTGACATGATGGCAGTGTTCCAATATCTCAGAGGTTGCCACAAAGAAGAGGGAGTCAAGCTACTATATTCTCCAAAGCACCTGAAGGCAGGAGAAGAAGCAATGGATGGAAACTAATCAAAGAGAGAAGCAATCTAGAACTAAGGAGAAATTTCCTGACAGTTAGAACAATTAATCAGTGGAACAACCTGCCTCCAGAAGTTGTGAATGCTCCAACACTGGAAGTTTTTAAGAAGAGACTGGACAGCCATTTGTCTGAAATGGTGTAGGGTTTCCTGTCTGAGCAGGGGGTTGGACTAGAAAACTTCTAAGCTTCCTTCCAACTCTTATTCTTATTATAATGAGCAACCTCTACAAATGAAATGTGTTGAGGCAGTTAGGTTATACAGAGAACTAGATGAACATCAGACTTCAAAACAATTACCTGAAGGAAAAATGAAAAGATCAAGATGAAAGGAATGTTCTATAAAGGTAAGATTGATGAAGTTGATGAGAGCCTTAAAAATTCATAGGTGAGAAGTTTAAAGAACAAATAAACAAGGTAGGATTAGAACAAGAACTATTCACAAGAATAAAAATGAAGAAATGTAATGAATTTTGTTGGTCTAAATTACTTTTAACTTTTTTTTTCTTTTTTCATACTTTTAATTACTTTGACTTGCTATTTCCCATTTATTTCTTGCATTGTACAGTAGCTAACTCTGTTTGCCCTATAGGAAATAGTATGATAGTTCTGTCTTTATTAATATATTGCGTGCATGAATTTAAATATTGAACGTTTATGACAGTATGCTATAAGGAGGTATTTTACATAACACTTGTTTGTCCTGCAATTAGATTTCTTTTTTTCCATCAGCACCTTTTTTGAAGCTTCTGGTGAATTGTTCCTAAAGCATTTTAAAAGGCATACTTTTAAAAATGCATACAATTTATTGTTCCTGACTTTCACTGATGCAAAAATAGATTTTTAACAATCATTTTCATTAGTATGCACTTTAAAAAGAGAAAGCAAGGATACCTATGCTAATTTCATCCACTGTTCTGTGTTTGCTGCTGACATGGAAAAATCATTGTATACAAATGTAAAAGCAAAATAAGTATACAACTTAACAAAATAAGAATGAATTGCAAAGATACAGATACAATCCTGGGTTGTATAAACAGAGGCATAGAATCAAGATCATGTGAAGTATTAGTACCACTTTATAAAACCCTAGTAAGACCGCACCTGGAATACTGCAGCCAATTTTGGTCACCATATCACAAAAAAGATGTTGAGAGGTTGAAAAAAATTCAGAGGAGAAAAACAAAGATGATCAAAGGCCTGGAGACTAAAACATACAAAGAACACTATGGGACTTTGATTTGGCTAGTCTAAAGAAAAGAAGAAATAGGGGAGACGTGATAGCAGTATTCCAGTATCTAAGGAGCTGCCACAAGGCAGAGGGGGCCAGGTTGTTCACCAAAGCACCAGAGGGAAAGACGAGAAACAATGGTTGGAAACTGATCAAAGAGAGAAGCAACCGGGAATTAAGGAGAAACTTCCTGACAGTGAGGATAATCAACCAGTGGAACAGTTTACTCCTAGAAATTGTGGGCACTCCATCACTGGAGATTTTTAAGAGACTAGATATTCACCTGTCTGAGATGGTATAGGTTCTCCTGCTTGAGCTGGGGACTAGACTAGAAGAGCTCCAAGGTCCCTTCCAGCTCTGTTCTGTTCCATTCTGTTCTCTTCTAAACAACCAGAACTGGACACAAAAGGCTTGTAGAAAGTAGCTGGCCCTTTAAGGAACAAACCAGACTTATGGACCCAGAGGAAATCACCTGTTTCCTGTAAGCCAATAGGCAAGTCAGGTTTGGAGTTTTTGAGGTGTAACCTCAATCAAGGGTACTACCTGAAGCAAGGCTGGGAAATAAGGTTGTTCTTGTTGTTGTAGCTTAGAATTAGGGATTTTGAATTTTACTGTGTGTGAAAACTTTATCTTCCTTTGTGACCTTTAATACAGTGGTGTTTATTTGTTTTGCTTTGTTTTGTTTTGTTTTAATCCTGGAGTTGACTAGTTGCCTTCTATCATACTCCTCGGCTGGTCTGAGCTACTGACTTCAAAAAGTTTTGTACCTTCTTAGCCAGTCTGACGATGGAGTGAAGGATTCCCCCTCAGTCTTCTGGTTCCCTCATAGATCTGATGAGAAAGTGAAAAAAATATTTGCAATAACAGGGAGGTGACAGTAAGGGGACCTGATTTTCTGGTCATTGTTAATCCCCACATGCAAATTACCTCAGAACCAGACTACCTCAAGATGGGGTTTGGTTTGACCTTCACATGCCTTATTACAGTATGTATAGAAAAACTGGGGAGATGACTTCTCCATATTTTTCTAGGACAAGAAGGAATTCTCTACCAGTTTCAAATAACAATTTTTCAAAAGTAGGTGATAGTAGCATGCTACTACTTAAAAAGGGGGGTTTCATAAGAGGATTTATTTACTCTGTGATGCCTTTCCTTGGAATTTAATTGAAGCATGGGAAACCAGAATATCTGCAGATCACTGGAGAGACTATTGAATTAGAAAAGGAGAAGGTTGACATATACTCCTTGGACTTCTAATTACTAAAACCGCTTCCATATAGGTTCTCTTTGCAAGATCCAGGAAACTACAGTCTTGCCCTTTTGTAGTCATTCTGCAAAGATTTCATATCTCTCCTGGCTGTTAAAGGATTATTACTTGGAGGCAGTTGGGTTGCTGCTGATTGCTCCCTTTGGGAATGCCCTTAAGATGGTCACTTGGATTAGCCAACTTGTTTTTCTTTAGGTATGACCCCTGAGAGAAAGAGAGAGTAAGGGCTCTAATTGAGGTTGCTGGTTTTCATTAGCTGTAGCCTAGTGTTATGAGGTTTCTCAGGGAGATGGGGCTGAGCAAAATATGATATGCTCTATAAATAAATATTGGGAGAGAAAAATACAGTATAATGGGAGATTAAAATTTAACCTTTCCAAGGCAAGAAGAGGATCCCTTTACATCCTCTTTTCACATGGTGGTCTAATCAAGGAAGTAAAGGTGAGAACAAAGATGATTTCTCAGTGCAATGGTCTTGCTTTTGTTTATTTATTTATTTATTTGCCTATACAGTTGCTGATAAAAACCTTATTATCCAAGTGCTGACATTTCATGTATTATAGAGACCTGGAATTAATTTCTTCCAGCTCAGTATATATTAGGTTAAAGGCTGGAGGGGGTATGTGACCTAATGCTGACATGAAGAAATCAATGTATGCACATATAGAAATATAATTAGCACATCCCTTAGCGAAATAAAAGCAAATTGCATCTGTTTCATCTTTTAAGCAGAAGCTTCATCCAATAGTCTGCCAGTTTTGAGGCTCTGCTGCTGTGATTGGGATGTCACACTTGTGTATATGAACTATTAGTGTAATGTTCGTAGGCCTGCACAAGTGATCTAGCCATCATGATCTCTACTGTGGTCTGCTTTAGGCTTCTTACTTTGGATGGTTTCCATAATGAAGCTGCCACATGGACTTCACGTTTATTCATGGGAATCTTTGAGGGGGGGAAGAGGGTTAAATAATGTATGTGATGATGTCATCATGCAAATATCATGCTCTTCTTAATTATATCAGACATTGTGGTATTTCATACAATATTTGTGTGTGCCATATTTTGCTACCATTGCAGCTTGTGACACATGTTGCTATGCTGACTGCAATGACCATAAACCTGTCGCAATTTGTATTTGATATTTTGTTCAGGTGAACCCAGTAATCTTGCACTGGGATTTCTGACATGAAACTGTGAAACTAAAAATATTGTTACTGTTTTTTTATTCTTTTATATTGGGTTTTTTATTGTTTGTAAGCTGTCCAGAGTAATTGAAAATGTGTTGGCTGCCATATAAATCTTATTAATAAACAAATAAATGAAAAAGAAAGAAAGAAAGAAAGAAAGAAAGAAAGAAAGAAAGAAAGAAAGAAAGAAAGAAAGAAAGAAAGAAAGAAAGAACTGTGGGATCCATAGAATTGTGGTTACTATACAGAGGTAGAAGCAGAGGCTCAGTCAAAATGGTTCAGTATAAATACTTGGTCAAATTGGACAACATTCCAAATGTCTCAAGGAATTTCCCACCTGAATTGTAGCAATATTGAAATCCTGGCTAATTTATGAAAAACAGAGATGGCACATCAATTCACTTCTAATATCTTCCTCCTTCTAGCAGAAATAAATCAGCAACACCATAAGGGAAAAGCAAGAAGAGAGGCCATAATTACATTCTCTTAAACATGATTCAAGTGTAATTTACTGTATACTTAGGAATTCTCTACAACAGCAATCTCCAACCTTTGCAGCTTGGTGGCCCAGCTGGGGGGTGGGAAGAGGGGAACCAGACTGTGTGAGTGGCAGGCTGGTATGCATGCACACATGTGCAGCTCAACTTGTGCGAGTGGCGGGCCTGCATGCATGCTCAGCTCAACTTGGGCTGGGCAGACATCTGCATGTGGGCTGGCCCGCCACTCACACAAGTTCAGCTGTGCATATGTGCACATATCGACCCACTGGTCTCACGGTACAGTTGCAAATAGGCTATGGCCCAATAGAGGTCTGCAGCCTGGGGAGTTGGAGACCCCTGTTCTACAAAATAGGAGGTACTGTATAATTAAAAATATTCTGTGAATCATGCTTGACTTCCATGGAATTTATGATGGAGATGTAGTTATCTTGGCAGCATCATAGAAGTAGTTATCCATTACTTTTATCTGGGATAGTTTTCAGTTTCTGGGTCTACACATTGAGTTTTATGATTTTCTCCCTAGATTTGACCAAATTTTGTTTATCAAAATCAGCCAAAGAAAATTTAATTCATTTTATAATCTATCTTCTGGCTTTTCCAGGGAAAGTTTTATTTAGAAGAAGATGGGGGGGTGGAGTTTTGTCCCCATCACTTTTCTATGTTTAGGGTTTTTGAATACCAAAGGACTATTGTATATGATGGCCTAAATGTTTACTTCCAACATTCTAAATTTATGATTCTTGGCTTTGATGACCATTCCTTTTACAAAAATTAGGAGCAGATTAAGCCAACATTTGTCAAGTGATGCCATGTGAAAGTTAGATGCAGCGTTATGCAATCAGAAGTAAAATAGTTGGCTATATGATCTATATGATCTTGGCTTGGCTTGCAGAGTTCATAGATGTCATTTGCTACAGTCTCAGGCAATGAAAGTACCAAATGCAAAGTTCTCAGAATATATCTAATCTAAAGCAGCAGACAATCCAAATGGCAAAGAGAAAATTGATTCTATGCACTATTAAATTATATAGAATACCGTAAATTGATAGTGGGAAAAATCTTCCTCTTTAAGTAATTATACGTTAACATAACTTGGCTGTTTCTTCCTATTCCCTTGATTGACCAGCCTTTCATCAAAACTAATATGTTAGTGGTTCTAAGTATTCTAACCACAGATCCATATGTTGTCAGATTGTAAATATTTCACAGCTGAGCTTTCTATTATATCAACTAACTAAGGCTTTGAATCCACCCTCTATTGTTTTTTTAGTCTTCATTTTTGGCTCATTCTATGTTTTCTTGTGCATTAAAGTAAACCATTTCCTTACGCCTGCAGGCCTATAACCTGAGTTGATTGAAAAATTCATTTACCATAGAAGTATTTTTCCCCATGCACTCTTCATAATAATCTCCTTTCCTGCATGATTGCTTGGTCATAGAGAACAGATGTGTCCTTGGAATCCTGAAAATTTGGACTGTATTTCATACAATTATTACCTCTATGAACAATGGGTAACTTCTATTTATAGTAGACAAGTTGATTAGCATTTAGACCTAGCCTTCAAATCCACTTAGCCACTGATTAAGCCATTCTAGCTTTTCTCTTTTCTAAATTTTCATATTATAATGGGAAATTTCTGGGAAGAGTAAAGATGTACTGTTATATGGGATTCATCTCTTTTCACAGGATAAAAGTAAAATATGTGAAACAACAGATTATTATTTTCTTTTCTCAAAACCAAGACAAGAGTACAGCCTCTTACCATCATGGCTTATACAACATACATGACAAGATTACTAAATCCACAAATTATTTTTGGTTTCCACATAGAATTGACACAAACATCAATAAAAAAATCAAAGTTCATAGTATAATTGAACAAAATAGGAGACTATGAGTTCTAGTCTAGCTTAGCAATAAAAGCTTTCTGGGTGACTTTGTGCCAATCACTCTCTCACCACAATATTGGTCTTGGGCAATAAGCCCAATGTCACAACCAATAGTTCAACACTTGGTTGACAGAAGAAGAAGAAGAAGAAGAAGAAGAAGGAGAAGGAGAAGGAGAAGGAGAAGGAGAAGGAAAAGGAAAAGGAAAAGAAGAAGGACAACGACAACGACAATGACAACAACCTTGCACTTGTGGGAAAATACTAGAAAGAAAAAAATAATCAGAAATCCAATAGTAAAGGCCTGTTAAGAGAAAGGTCAAGTGAACATTGACTTGGAAAAGCAGGATAAAAAAGCCCAGAATTTAAATGTACTATATATAGAACTTCATTTCTGTTCTGCAGTAGGCAAATCTTTGTGTATAAGACTTGATTGTTTTTTTTCAGCCAAGATACAAATCCTGCAGAACTGCAGCTATGAGCTTTCTGCAATAACACAATCCAGAATAAAAGGGTAAATGTCCAGAAATCTGAATTGCCTGTTGAGTTCACCCACTTGTAAGCCAAGGGAATGAAGCAAATCAATCTTGTTTTCATCTGGGGGAATGTTGAGGCAAAAATGGGTTATATTGAGCTTTGCAGCATTTATTTAATAAATTATGGATTTCATCTTCTCTTTCCAGGCATTGGGCTCTTGACCCTATCCATTTTTGATGCTGCCTACATTCTGATGAAAATTGTGCTCCATTGTTGTAGCAGCAATGCAAAGCATAGAGCTACTCTGAGAGTGAGATGAGAGGTACCTAAATAAATAAATCTGCATTAATGGCTTCCACTCATCCAGATTATTAGATCTGCCTTGACAATAAAAAAACTTATTAAAGGGCTTCCAGGTCCAGTAAAAGTGCATTCAGTTTTCTGGAGCAATGTTTTTCTTGTACAGTTTTAATGTAATTCAACACAGACTTTTAGTTGGTTATCAGTACTGATTTAGTCTGTCATTCTAATTTACTCTTAATGGATGTACAGAAAGATTGAGGGTTAATTATTTTATATTTGTGGCATGATCCCAGGAACAATAATTGGTTGTTCAAAACTGAGGTAGAACACTGTTTATAATAATATGCTATGCTCAACAAAAGTTTTACATGGATACATGAAAGTCTTTTCTTTTATCCATGATTGATGCCTTCCCACATTTTATTTTTAAGACCAGGGCAGAAGTAAAGTATCTTTTTACACATGTTTACTGGAGATTTGAAGAAAATTTGAAAAAAAGGATTTTCTAAACAGAAACAGATAATCCAAATATGTATGTAGTAAATTCAGTAATTTTAGCTTACAATTAGATTTCTTACCAAATTTCATATGTAATAATCTACTGAAGAGAAATTGGAAGATTGCCCACTAACAATTTATGTTCTCTGTTACTTTCTTATTTCCTTGCAGAAACATTGACTGAGAATTGTTTATATATTTTTTTAAAAAATGCAAATGTGGAAGGTCCACCAACAATATGAACTATAATGATTTGACTTTATTTCTTTGCTTGCTGCTGCAGTTTCTCCTGACCATTGCACAATACATTCTTTGTCACACCAGTTAATTTCTGTCATTCTTACTGTAGGTATTATAATTCTATATTGATTTCAAATCTACATAAATCCAGATCTTCTTTTCTGATACTGTTAACTTTGGAGCTGCTGTTGAGTAATAATCTGCCTAATTTTAAAAAGAAATGCTTCAGATCAGATAATCATGTCATCCCATTCAGGATACTGCAAGATTTTTTTTCCCCCAAGAAACCTTATCTTATAAAATTATGGGTACTGAGTTGCTAAAGAATGCAGTACTGTTTATTTTTAATCACTTTCATTTGTTATTTCAGAGAACTTTTTTTTCATTCCTTTTTCTAATACATTCTTATACTTTTATTTTTCGTAGATATGAATTAGAAACAAATGCTGCATTTCTTTTGGAAATCAATGCATACAATTTACTTCAACAGAATTGGTATAAATCTACATCATGTAACCCACAATTACCAAATTGCAACCAGGCTTATGAAACTTTTATAAAATGAAAAGATTTCATCAATCGTCAGAAATGTTCCAGCATAGAACTGGCAAAGCAACATGCTTTGTACTGTTCTACTTCATAAAGCAATTAGCTAAGCTGAGTGAAAAAAGCTGCCTGGCTATACATTGCATTCTAGCATTTCTGGAAAGCAATAGCATTGCCTTTTCTCTTGTTCATGCAGTTCATTTTCCCAAAAGAGACACTTACTTTGACACCTCCTGCTGTGACCCCTAGGGTATCTTCATAATGCCAGCTAACTGCCAGCTAAATAAATCCCAATGATCAGCCCACTTTCCATCATTTGTGAGCTGCTCTACTTGTGATCTGCATAAGTGACCTTCAGCTTTGTAGGGCTGTCAACATCAAGGGGTGACATTTGATATAAATTAATCCCTTGCTGCAAGCTCCATGAAACTGCCTTTTCCAGTGTTTGAAGTCTATTCTGTGTTAGCCATTCCTCAGAAGTGCATCTGTATATATTGAATAAATGCATGGGTGATGGAGAATTCTTTTTCTTGGCTTGCTTAGTATATTACCAGTCAGCTGAATTCATCCAAGCTTCACTGCTGATCATTCCCAGTATGAGAAACAAATTTCTTCTATCTGGCTTTTTATAAGATCATCTTCAATACAGCTGAAACAGGATACAGAATATTATTTGCCTTTCCTCCCATCACACGACAAAATCTTTATAGTATTTTAGAATATAAAAATGTAAGTTATCCATGGCAAAGCAATGTATTGTTTCAAATGCACCTACCAAGAACAGCAAAGATCATATCTCCCTAAGCCAAAAAATATTTTCTGTGAAAAACAAAAATATATGCATTGTTGTTTTGTGGTAATGTGTACTTTTCTAACCCAGTCAAGCAATCTTTTTTTAAAAAGTCTAGTAATCTCAGGCCCTGAAGTTTTTTCTTAATGATATACAAGATTTTGTGCAACAACATACCAGTTTTCTTCCCTCTTTTGCCTCCCCTGATAGTTTGGAAATAAGATTATAAAAGTTTCATACATTTGATGGTCTCTTGCATAGCTGTAGCTAGAAATAAACATTCCACACCTGCTGCCCAAAACAAAGCCCCATGCTGAGTTTATCTTCTTTCCCTTTATAATGAGCAATAATACCCATCCACATAACAAATTGCCACTAATGCAAAGCATGTTATAATAAATGAAAAAGAAAGAAAGAAAGAAAGAAAGAAAGAAAGAAAGAAAGAAAGAAAGAAAGAAAGAAAGAAAGAAAGAAAGAAAGAAAGAAAGAAATCTAAACTTGTGGTGGACTGGCCTAGGTCTCTCATTATGGTGAGTTTTATTCTCTTTTCCCCCACAAGGTTTAGGATGGATCTCATTAATGGATCAAATTATTTGTTCATCTCTATTAAAATGCTAGCATGTTGCATATTGAATTCTAAGATCATAATGATAACTATGTATAGGTATTCATTATCAAACCAATGGTTTATTTATGATGCAGAATATATAGCAAACATTGAAAATGTCACTACACTTCCTTTTTTTGAAGTGGCAGTCATATATACAGAAAGAGGATGAAATAGAGGACTTTTCATTCTTTGAACGCCCATCAGTGTTCCACAACCGTTATCAAAAATTTAAAAAATGGAAAATTGAAAAAAATAGATAAAATGAAGAAGTGGTCAGAATCAGGACAAAATCTCCATTGATTTTATTTATATTTACTTTACTATCTTAAATAGGAATATAATCTTATGTTCCACCTTTTTTACATATATCATGTTAAACATTACAATTTTGTGAAAGCTTTGGGATTTTCTCCAAGGTTTCAAAATTTCTATAATTTGCACAATCGTACCTTGAATTTTGTTCAGAGAAATCTAAATTCAGCCCAGTTTGCATGGTGACTGCTCATATAATGAGCAACCTCTCACCAACATTCAATAATCAAATGTGTTTATGTGTGAACCAGCCATTATGTTGGGTATGCTGTCATTCAATTACTGTACATTTGGCAGCAATATTCTCTTTTCTTTTTTGCATTATTTGATGGTCTATTCTGCTTCTGCCTGTCATTTTGGCTGCTTCTTCCAAAACATATATTTCTGAACTTTGTTGCTATTCTGTGAGTGCTGCCATCTTGGAGATTATATTGCATGTGTTTATACATATATTCTGGCCAAAAAAGAACACCATGATTTTTTTAAAACAATAATAGTTCTAGGTATTTGCAGATACTCTCTTTGGAGGCAGCATTACAAAATATGATTCATTTTTTTTTAAAGTTGATGCCAGAAATTTTAAAGCACTTTTCCATCCTCAGCTGGACCATCTGTCCTAGATAATGCCAGAAGATGTCTCTGAAACTGATGACTGACAAGAGACAGATACTCTAAGGAGAAGATTATAAGCAAAGCAAGGCAATAGGTTGTTTAAAGGAATAAGGGTTCTCAGATCAGCAGTTATTCAGAAAAAAAAGTGTTTTCTCAAACTCTAGGGCAGCCTATCACCTCCAGTTTGTATAGTCCCACCTGCCACCATTAAAAGAGTAAGCAATATCTGTACTTGGAGTGCTTGATATTTATGCTCTTTTTGCCTGAATGTTGAGAAAATCCATTACTCAAGATCTCAGTCATCAAATGCTTCTAAATCACACTATAGGGAACTATGCAACTGCATCTACTTAATAAATATGTATTGATATTGCTTTATCTAATTGCTTCCAATGGGATCCTAAATAGATCCTATGGATCAAAAACAATATGTAAGACAGGAAAGAAAAAAGAAAGAAAGATGTATATGATTCTTGTGAGTCGTGGAGAAAACTCCAGAGGCAACTTTCTTTTTTATCACTTTTTTACTTGTTTTAGTAAGATGGATTGGTGAAGATGGTTGAGGAGAAAAGCTAAACCTGCATTCAAGCACTTAAATCCCAAATGTTTTTCTTTCTTTCTTTATTGTGGATGGTGGGGATACAATTTAAACTACAGTATGTGATGCTGATGCTGTATGTGATGCTGTAGTTTAATGCTGATTTTTCAGAAACCTTTTTCTGTTGATTTATTTAAAGGGAATTCAGGGAGTAATAAAACCATAATTAAGCATTATGTGTGTGTATTATTCATATTATTATGTACAGGTAGTCCTTGACTTATGACCACAATTGAGTCCAAAATTTATGTTGCTAAGTGAGAAATTTGTTAAATGAGTTTTGCCTCATTTTATAACTTTTCTTGCCATATTTGTTACGTGAATCACTGCAGTTGCTAAATTAGTAACACCATTGTTAAGTGAATCTGGCTTTCCCATTGACTTTGCTTGTCAGAAGTTCACAAAAGATGATCACATGACCTTGGGACACTGCAACTGTCATAAATATGAACCAGTTGTCAAGCATCCAAATGTAAATCATATGACCATGGGGATGTTGTAATGGTCATAAGTGTAAAAAATGGTCATAAGTCATTTTTTTTCAATGCCATTGTAACTTCGAACGGTGACTAAACGAAGTGTTGTAAGTTTAGGACTATCTGTATAATTGCGAGAAACAGCTTCTCTTCTTCAGCAAATATTTTTAAATAGGGATAAAAATATAAGAACTCTTCTTACCTATAAACCAGAATCTTGATCATTGAATTATGATCAAACAAACACAGATGAGGTTCCTCCAGTGCAATCATCTATTTTACATCTTTTCTAGTTTAGCCTAGAGGGTTCTCTGGTAACAACCTCTTAGTAATTTGTATTTATTTATTGGTTGATGCAGTTTCACATTATTTGCCAAGGTCCTATTTTATGAATGTTCTAAATCCATTGATTCCAATTCCAAGGCCTCCCCATCCTTAAATAAACATTTTATTTCCTAATTTATCTTAGTTTGATTGTACTCATATACCAAGCAAAGCCTACTGTATCTGACTAATCAGTAAGAATGATGCTCTCATTATGTTGTTTCAGCAGCTACAAGATAATTAATGTCTATTGATAGACACATTCAAAATAGCATTAATTATATTATTAATGATCTTAATTAACTTCAAATGCTTCATGTTTTCCAATAAGATTATCTGTTTAAGAAAATTGTTGGCACAGCCTTCAATCATTTGCTGGTGTTTGTTTACAATAGATTTATCCATGAGGATGCTTTGGAAATTAACTTCAGATCTGTTTTATGAACTACTCACTTGTTTTTATTATATTTGCCAAGCAAAGACTGTATTAACAAAGAAATGATTTAACTTTGCTGGATATTACCTATCTTTTTATTCATCTCTTAAGAGTGGATTTCTTTTTGAATGAATTGTTCTATTAATAAAAGGTAGAAGTAGGTATTATTTGGTCAATGTGTCTATACTCCATTCCTCCAAACAAAACTTTTACATCTGGATTTTTTAACTTATGTATTTATTGAATAACAAATAAATAACAGTATCCATTGCATTGTATCTACTACAATCTTTGCCTTTTGAAAAACATTGCTATAAACATATATTTTTCCCCTATTAGTGTGATTTTGAACTATAGAAAATTGTCATTCCCCAAAGGCATATTATTCTTCCAATAATCTGTTTATTTGTTGTGGGAAAAATAGGAGGAAGAAGGAGTATTAGGTATATTCATTGTCTTGTGTTATTTATAAAAAAATAATAAAGGTGGGGGGAAATTCTTTTAAGAGGGGATTTGTAGAATCAGAGGCTTTCATAAAAATAATAAAAGTAGTATTGTACTGTTACAATGCAAGTTCTACCCCAGCATACCACTGTATTGTTCATCGTTTGCCCCCCCTTTAAAAAAAATTGAGAGAGTTTTGAAAAGTCTGGTTAAATCAGGAAGTGGCTTTATAATTCTCATCATAGTTGCCTTTCCTTTGAAATTGGAGGATCAGTTGCTTCTAGGCATAACTACAGACATGAGAAATGTTCTGAAGAAAAATATTGTTGTCAAATTTGCAGGTGGGTAGAGAAGAAAAGAAACCAGCAGTTGACAAATCTTAGAAATGTGAGGATGATAGAGGCCTTGTGTTTATGTATAATTCAAATTCACATACTCATTGCCATCCTTATGGTATCCTTACAATTGTATATAAAATATTTGGGTTAAAGTCACTTATATTACATGCAGCAAAGTAACATTTTATACTATTATGTACTCAGGTGGTAAATGGCCAGTTAAACTCGGTATTATTACTTCTGCTATTGATCTGAATGCAAGCTGAATCACTTGTAACCTTGCCATAAACCATGATTTATTTTGGTTGTAAAGATCAAACTAA